ATATAATAAATCAAAAAAATTAGCCGGGCATAGTAGCACGTGCCTGTAGTTCCAGCTACTTGGAAGGCAGAGGCAGAAGGATTGCCGGAGCCCAGCAGGTCGAGGCTGCGGTGGCCGGGAGCGGCCACTGCACTCCAGTCTGGGTGACAGAGTGAGACTCCGACTCAAAAAAAAAATTAGCCGGGCATGGTGATGCAAGCCTGGATCACTTGAGCCCAAGAGGTCGAGGCTGTGATGAGTCGTGGTTGTGCACTCCAGTCTGGGTGACAGAGTTAGACCCCCTACTTCAAAAGGAAAAAAAATGCTGGGCACAGTGGCTCAAGCCTGTAATCCCAGCATTTTGGGAGGCCGAGGCGAGAGGATTGCCTAAGCTCCAGGGTTCAAGACCAGCCTGGGCAATTTGGTGAGACCTCGTATCTACAATAAATCAAAAAATAAGCTAAGTGTGGTAGTGCACACCTGTAGTTCCAACTACTTGGATGGCTGAGGCAGAAGACTGGCCTGAGCCCAACAGATCGAGGCTGCGGTGGCCATGAGTATGCCACTGTACTCCAGCCTGGGTGACAGAGTGAGACTCCAACTAAAAAAAGAAAAAGAAAAAAAAAGCCAATATGAATGAAGCATATCTCCTACATAGGAATGGTGCTCAAAATAAATATAACAATCCGTATAGCATAGGCACTGACTAATAAGAACAGTTGCAGACATTAAAAAAAAAAAAAAACCACTGGCCCATTTAAGCCCTAAGGAGTTTATTCCAAGAGGGAAAAAAAGATATTGAGCATTTTGGCCAGGTACCAATGGTTCACACCTGTAATTCCAGCACTTTGGGAGGCTGAGGTAGGAGGATTGCTTGAGTTTGAGACCAGTCTGGGCAACATAATGAAACCTCATTTTTATTTTATTTTTTATTTTTTATTTTTTTGAGTTGGAGTCTCACTCTGTCGCCCAGACTGGAGTGCAGTGGCCACTCCCGGCCACTGCAGGCTCGACCTGCTGGGCTCCAGCGATCCTTCCGCCTCAGCCTTCCAAGTAACTGGAACTGCAGGCGTGCGCTACCACACCCGGCTAATTTTTTGATTTATTGTAGAGATGAGGTCTCACCAAGTTGCCCAAGCGGGTCTCAAACCCGCGGGCTCAGGCAATCCACTCAACTCAGCCTCCCAAGGCACGGGATTACAGGCTGAGCCACCGAGCCTGGCCTGTTTTTCAAATTTAAAAACTTTTTTTTGTTTTTTTGTTTTGTTTTGGTTTTTTCAGTCAGAGTCTCACTCTGTTGCCCAGGCTGGAGTGCAGTGGCACACTCACAACCACTGTATCCTTGACCTGCTAAGCTCGGGCAATCCTTCCACTTTAGCCTTTAGCACCACCACACCCAGCTAATTTTTTTATTTATTGTAGAGATGGTATCTTGTCATTTTGCTCAGGATGGTCTCAAACCTCTAGGCTCAGACAGTCCTCTTGCATCTACCTCCCAAAGTGCTGGGATTATAGGCGTGAGCCATAGCACCCAGCTAAAACTTTTGTTCTTTGTTTTTTGTTTGAGTCAGAGTCTCACTCTGTCACCCACACTGGAGTACAGTGTCACACTCACAGCCACTGCAGCCTCAACCTGCTGGGCTCAGGTGATCCTTCTATCTCAGCCTTCCAAGTAGCTGGAACTACAGGTGCATACCACATGCCCTACTAATTTTTTAATTTAATTTGTTTTGGAGATGAAGTCTTGCCAAGCTGTCCAGGCTGTCTCGAACCGTGGACACAGACAATCCTCTCATCTCGGCCTCTAAAGTGGTGCTGGGATTTTAGGCATGAGCCACTGCACCTGGCCCAAAACTTTTTTTTTTTTTCCGTTGGAGTCTCACTCTGCCACCCAGGCTGGAGTGCAATCCACGCTCCTGGCCACCGCAGCCTCAACCTGCTGGGCTCTGGCGATCCTTCCGCCTCAGCCTTCCAAGTACCTGGAACTACAGGTGTGCACTACCACGCCTGGCTAATTTTTTATTTATTGTAGAGACGAGGTCTTGCCAAGTTGCCCAGGTGGGTCTCGCACCTGCAGGCTCAGGCAATCCACTCACCTCAGCCTCCCAAAGTGCTGGGATTACAGGCTGAGACACTGAGCCCAGCCCAACTTTTTTTTTTAAACAAAAAAAAGGATATTGAGCATTTTAAGGTAAGAGGTATCATGATATGATTTATGTTCTGGAAGATGAGCTATATGGGACAAGGGCAGAGGTAGGACAGTAGTTACAAAAGTATTATAGAAATCTAGGTTTTGGCCGGGCTCAGTGGCTCAGCCTGTAATCCCGCGCCTTTGGGAGGCTGAGGTGAGTGGATTGCCTGAGCCCACGGGTTCGAGACCCGCCTGGGCAGCGAGACCTCATCTCTACAATAAATCAAAAAATTAGCTGGGCATGGTAGCACGCGCCTGTAATTCCGGCTACTTGGAAGGCTGAGGCAGAAGGATCGCCAGAGCCCAGCAGGTCGAGGTTGCGGTGGCCGGGAGCGGCCACTGCACTCCAGTCTGAGTGACAGAGTGAGACTCCAACTCAAAAAAAAAAAAGAAATCTAGGTTTTAAATGAGAGTGCTTTCCAGCCTGGGGCAACATAGCAAGACCTCATCTCTACAGAAATAAAAAAATTAGCTGGGCATGGTTGTGTATGCCTATAGTCCCAGCAGCTACTTAGAAGGCTGAGGTGGGAAGATCACCTGAGCCTAGGAGGTTGAGGCTGCAATGAGCTGTGATCATATGACTTCACTCTAACCTGGGGACAGAGTGAGACCTCCAACTTAAAAAAAAATCGCTTGGAGGTGCTAGCAATTCAGTTAGTGAGAAGTATATACCTTTGAGGCAAGACCAATAAGACTTCATAAGAGATTGGATGTGGGGCCTGGAAGAAAGAAGTCTGAAGAGAGGCTGCTCAGTATTTGACCTGAGCAACAGCTGGTGTCACTTACTGAGATCAGCAAGGGCTGAAGGAAAGTTACTTGGGTTACTAGTTGTCTTTTTTTTTTTTTTTTTTTTTTTTGAGTTGGAGTCTCTGTTGCCCAGGCTGGAGTGCAGTGTCACACTCACAACCACCACAGCCTCGACCTGCTAAGCTTGGGCAATCCTTCTGCTTCAGCCTTCCAAGTAACTGGAACTACAGGCATGCGCCACCACACCCAGCTAATTTTTTTACTTATTATAGAGATTATGTCTCACCATGTTGCTCAGGATGGTCTTAAACCTGTGGGCTCAGGCAATCCTCTTGCTTCCACCTCCCAAAGTGCTGAATTACAGGCTTGAGCCACCGTGCCCGGCCACCAGTTGTCTTTAAGTTTGGTTTGCCTACTAGACGTCCAAGGAGTAGTGTCAAATATGCAAATCTGCAGCTCAGAGGAGAGGGGCAGGCAGGGGCCACCAGCTTGCAGCGCAGAGATGGTCTTTGATGTCTTCTGGCCATTTAGGGGGACTGGTCACTCTCCCTCAGCCTCAAGCAGGACATGGAGCAGGGGCAGTGTTCTGCCAGCTTCTCCCTCACTTTCAGATCATTATCCTGCCACCCTCACACACTTCCCCTCCTCTTATAAGCTCACTCCATTAACCACAGCACCTTCCAAAGCCCTGTATTCATTGCTCACTGCTAACCCCAATTGCCAAGTTACTCACCCATATTCACTGAGAAGCTAGATCCCTGGCTCACCCTCTTATCAGCCACCACAGGCCTGCCATCATCCTAGGGAAGATGAATGCTCATGGAGATGTCTTACCAGCCCTCCATCCCCACAGCTCAGTGACCTGCCTTACCTCTTTCCAGAGGAAAAGTGGTTCCTGCCCTCAAGGAGCCCTCTTAGAGAAGGGGGAATGCAGTAAGTGCCTCTCACGTATTTAGTTCTGAGGTAGAATGTAAAGAGAGCAGACTCAAAGGATAAAGTGCTCAGTTTTACCTAAGAGAATCAGGAAAGTCTTCACAGGAGAGCTGATATCTTTTTTTTAAATGTGTTTTCACCAGATCCATGAGAAAACAAGAGGAAGGGTTAAGAAGGACACCCTAAGCAGATGGTGCCATCTCAGCAAAGGCATGAGGCATGGAATAGGGACGGGGAGGTCATGGCTGCTGAGAGGAACAAGGGCCAGCTGGGCACTATTTGGCAAGCAGGAGAAAGCGAATGAAAGAGGGTATCCAGAGCCGGGCTCGGTGGCTCAGCCTGTAATCCCACGCTTTAGGAGGCTGAGGTGAGTGGATTGCCTGAGCCCGCAGGTTCGAGACCCGCCTGGGCAACTTGGCGAGACCTCATCTCTACAATAAATCAAAAAATTAGCTGGGCGTGGTAGCGCGCACCTGTAGTTCCAGCTACTTGGAAGGCTGAGGTGGAAGGGTCACTGGAGCCCAGCAGGTCGAGGCTGCGGTGGCTGGGAGCATGCCACTGCCCTCCAGCCTGGGTGACAGAGTGAGACTCCGACTCAAAAAGAAAAAGAAAAATTACGGCCAGGCGCAGTGGCTCAAGCCTGTAATCCCAGCACTTTGGGAGGCTGAGGTGAGAAAACTACCTGAGCTCAGGGGTTTGAGACCAGCCTGAGCAACATGGCGCAACCTCGTCTCTGCAATAAATTAAAAAATGAACCAGGTATGGTGGCACATGCCTATGGTTCCAGCTACTTGGAAGGCTGAGGCGGAGAGATCACCTGAGCCCAGTAGGTCGAGGCTGTGGTGACTGTGAACATGCCACTGCACTCCAGCCTGGGCGACAGAGTGAGACTCCGATTAAAAAAAAAATAGAGAATAAAATAAAATGGGGGTAATATGATTCACCTGGAAGGTTTGCTATGTAGCCCCTAAGTAGTTCTGTTTATAAAAACACTGGAACCCTGCAGGTGTTAGTTTTGGTGAGTTTTTCTCCCTTCCTATTGTTATAAACTCACTAGGCAGCCCAAACCATTACACACTTTCCACCCTCAGAATGTTTATGTCTATGAAAACATACCAAGATAAATGACCATACATTTATTTTTTTCCAGGTGTCCATATTTCTAAAGGACAAAGTTCAGAATTCTAATGGTCGCTTTGTGTTGCCAGTTTGCGGGCCTGTCCCCTGGGGAACTGAAGTTCCCGGACTCATCAGGTGAATTCTCAACAGTAATTACCAAGGCTGCATTTGGGGTGCTGGGAGACCAGTACGTGGGCCACCATAAAGGAGGCAGCACTGCTGAGCCCCAGGCTCTCTCGACACCCCCTCTGCAGTAAAGCACAGCTATTAAAGAGGGCAGGTTCTAAACCCAGCTTTGCCACTTAGCAGAGGGGCTTGAGGCAAGTCACCCAGTTCTCCAGGACTCGTTTCCTCTTCTGTTAAATGGTTCCTGCAAAGACGAATAAGATAATGGTGCTCCAAAGTGCTCATACTGGACTGGGCGCATAACATTGCTCAATTAATAGTAGTAGTATTATATTATTGTTATTATCACAACCAACATCTTTATCTTGAAGGAGTGCATGAATTCCTTTTTGTTCCATGGTACAAAGAATAAAGAAGTCTCCAGGACCACCTAAGCTTGGAGAACATTCCATCATGTCATACTTTGTATTATAGAGTGTTCAACAACAAAGGTGAAGAAGTGAAGAAGATAGAATTCAAGCATGGTGGACACTATGTCACTGCACCCAAAGAAGGTTCTTTTGAACTTTATGGAGACCGAGTTCTGAAACTGGGAACTAACATGTAAGCAAATTTTTCTTCCCTAAATTAATTCAAGTCCAAGGGAGGCCACTTCATTTTAACACAGTCTGACTTCTCCTGTGAAAATCCCTCTGATGACTGAACTCATTTCCCCTCGCATGCCCTGCATATAGTACCCTGACATTTTCCAAGGGTTCCCAAGAACTTCAGACATAAGGTGACTCCATGGGTTGAAAAGATACATAATTTTAAATACTTATGGAAGAGGACTAGCCAAAACCTCTGTTGCACTGGAAATCCAGAAGGACATAGCCTTCAGGTAATGCTACCATCTTTTCAGGGATAATGTTACTCTTTTCTTTTTTTTTTTTTTTTTTTTTTTGTTTGAGTTGGAGTTTCACCCTGATGCCCAGACTGAAGTGCAGTGGCCGCTCCCAGCCACTGCAGCCTCGACCCGCTGGGCTCCAGCGATCCTTCCGCCTCAGCCTTCCGAGTAGCCGGAATTACAGGCATACGCTACCACGCCTAGCTGATTTTTGATTTATTGTAGAGATGAGGTTTTGCCAAGTTGCCCAGGCGGGTCTCGAACCCGCGGGCTAGGCAATCCACTCACCTCGGCCTCCCAAAGCACGGGATTACAGGCTGAGCCACCGAGCCCGGCCAGTTACTCTTTGTAGGAGGAGCCATTTCCAGTTTCTCCAGACAGTTTTCTTTGGGAGGATGTGACATTTGAGTGGTTAACATCCACTTAGTTTGGTGCTCACAGTATCTTTTTGGGTGCTATTGATTGTCTCAAAATGAAAGCCAGGAATGGTATTGATGAGTTAGAAGAAAGTTAGTGGGCCAGGCATGGTGGCTCGAACCTGCAATCCCAGCACTTTGGGAGGTCGAGTTGAGGGGATTGCCTGAGCCCATGGGTTCAAGAACAGCCTGGGCAACTTGGCGAGACCTCATCTCTACAATAAATCAAAAAAATTAGCCACGTATGGTAGCGTGCGCCTGTAATTCCAGCTACCTGGAAGGCTGAGGTGGAAGGATCACCTGAGTCCAGCAGGTCATCACTGGAGTGGCCGTGAGTGTGCCACTGTACTCCAGCCTGGGCAACGGAATGAGACTCCAACTCAATAAAAAAAGAAGGAAGTCAGTGAAAAGGAGCTGGGTAATTCGCCATTTTGTGTTGACACCAGGTACAGCGTGAATCGGCCTGTGGAAACTCATATGTCTGGAACATCAAAGAACTTAGCCTCATGGACACAGGTGAGCTCCTTTCTTCTCTCCTCCTCACAGCTTTTTCTGGATACTAGAAATCTGCATGGAGAAGGCCAACATTTTCCTCATTGTTTGCAATCTTTTTCTTTGGACCTTATAAGTACACAGGTTTTTAATTGTAGCTTTTCATGGAGACTTCCAGTGATCTCACTAATTAGGTAATTTTAGGCTTAGCTCAACCACCATAATTAAGCAGGAACCACACATCAGGACATGTGAAATAGCATTGTACCAGTGCCATTAGGTCCATGGTTGCTGACTTCAGCACTTGTGTGTATTCTGATCATTAAAATATCTCTTTTTCATGCTCTCCTTTATAGTGCTGTGGTAGCTAAGTCCAAAGTGTGATTTTTAGTTTCTCTGAATTCCATCTTTACAAATTTTCACTGAACTAGCTCCCAGCTTGCTATAGGACAAATAATGAAATATTAAAGTATTCAGCAAACATTTATTAAACTGCTTCTATGGGCCAGGTACCCAGGGACACAAAGCTGACATAGGTGTGGTCCCATCCTGAAGGGGCTGATAGTACCCTGGGAAAGATAGAAGAAGTTGTGACAGGTGGGAAAAGGGCCAACTGGGTATTCTGAACAAAGTGCTATGCCAGAAGAACACATGTTCTGTCCAGTGGGGTGGGGGTAGGGAGGGGAGTCAAGAAGGCTTTTCCAAGGAGGTGATAGTGAAGTGGGGCTTGAGAGCATATAAAACACTCAATAGCAGAGAAGGGGAAATAGGCACGTGACCAAGGTGGCAGGCTGAGCAAAGTCATGGGGGCAGAAAAGCATGGTGTTTGGAGAAGCAGGAGGCAGCATGTTTCCCATGAGCCTACAGCATAGCGTAATTCAGGCCACTGGCAGAGACTGACTGGACAGGGACAGTGGGGCCTATTAGAAAGAGCCCTCGGCCGGGCTCAGTGGCTCAGCCTGTAATCCCGTGCTTTGGGAGGCCAAGGTGAATGGATTGCCTGAGCCCGTGGGTTCAAGACCCGCCTGGGCAACTTGGCGAGACCTCATCTCTACAATAAATCAAAAATTAGCCGGGCGTGGTAGCGCGCACCTGTAATTCCAGCTACGTGGAAGGCTGAGGCGGAAGGATCGCCGGAGCCCAGCAGGTCGAGGCTGCAGTGGCCGGGAGCGGCCTCCCAGCCACTGCACTTGTCTGGGCAGACTGAGTGAGACTCCGACTCAAAAAAAAAAAAAAAAAAAAGAAATAGCCCTAAACAGTTTGGACTTTGTTCTTTAAACAGGAGGTGGAGGGGTTCATTTCAACCCAAGGAGAAATGAGAACTGTCTGCTGGATAACTGGCAGCAGAGTGCTGGGAGGGGCAGAGCAGGGGCAAAGGTGCGCATGGGATGAAGACAATGAGAGGAGGGAGTGACTCGAGGGGTGTGTTCCTGACCATCGCCACATGAGGGCAGTGTGGCAGCTCCTCTGGAATGAGCACCCTTCCACTGGTGACTTGACTGAGACTTCTGGCAAATGCTGAGGGAACTGGAATCATTGAAGAGGAAGCAGTGTACTTCTCCTTCAAGGCGGAAGGTAGTTTGAGGAGAAATGTGCTTCTCTGGGAACTTGCACTCATCTTGAAAGTATGAAATTCTCTGAATTGCTGCATTGCTAGTTTCCCTCCACTTCTGGTGTGGCGTTTTAAACAGTTATTGTTTTGCCTTATTTTGTAATACTTCCCTGTGTCTCTGGGGTCTTATCAGGAGATGTGATCACCTTCGTGTGGCTAACAATCATGCAACTGTTTCTGCAGGAAAGCATTGCTCCAAACCCTCTTGCTAAAGAAGAGCTGAACTTCTTGGCCAGGCTGATGGGAGGAATGGAGATTAAGAAACCCAGCGGTCCTGAGCCAGGATTCCCGTTGAATCTCTTTACCACTGATGAAGAAGAGGAGTATGTTTTAAACTTGCTTCTTTATTTATTTATTTATTTTGAGTTGGAGTCTCACTGTGTCGCCCAGATTGGAGTGCAGTGGCACACTCCCGGCCACCGCAGCCTGGACCTGCTGGGCTCCGGTGATCCTTCTGCCTCAGGCTTCCAAGTAGCTGGAACTACAGGCGCATGCTACTATCCCTGACTAATTTTTTTATTTATTGTAGAGATGAGGTCTCACCTAGTTGCCTAGGCAGGTCTTGAAACCGCGGGCTCAAGCAATCCACTCACCTCAGCCTCCCAAAGCGCGGGATTACAGGCTGAGCCACCGAGCCCGGCTGTAAATTTGCTTCTTTAAAGACATATCAAAATCCCAATTGAGATAAGAACCCAAAAATGACCATTACAACCACTGACATTTATAAATACAGATGTAAAGATCACAAATGAAATGCCAACAAATTCAATAACCTAGTTAAAGAAGCCACCAGGAGTCAATGGCTTGGACCTTCTGGAGTCATTAAAAAAGAGAATTCTAATATTTTACTTAGCAGAGCACAGCTAAACAAGCAACATTAGAAGCAAAGTTGACCACATTAAGAAAGATATATTAAGAAACCAGAGGGAGGTTGGAGCTTGATTTCTTTGGGACTTGATAGTCTCTCCCAAAACCAATAACAATAGTAATTCACCAACATGTAAACAGTTCTTTACAGTTTACAGAGCACTTTCACATGCATTCTCTCATGTGACCCCTCCTCACAACCAAGTATTTGGGGGTGAGCGTTGCCTTCTATTTTCCCATTGCACTGACTTCTTTTGTTTACTTCCTTGTGACAGGTACTATGTTAAGTCATGGGGACACAAAGATGTAGTAAGACCTAGAACCAGTCCCCAGGAAGTTCCCAACTTAGTAGGAGAATGAACATGTATGTGAGTCATTTTAGTGCCGTGTCATGAATACTGTGTCTGATTGAGGACACAGTGACTAACTTTGCACTGGCGGATTGAAGGAGTTGGCATTTGATCTGAGTCTTGGAGTTTGCCAAGCAGAGGAAGGGGAGAAACAATCTTGGCAGAGTTTAGTATGTGCAAGGGCACAGAGACATAAAGGAATGTGACTTTCTAAAGTGTGGTATGCATTGGTTGGAGATGGGGTAGAAAGTTGAAAAGGGCAGAAGATGAGGCAGGAAAAATAAGTTGCCAAGTTATCAAAAGTCAGTTTGCCATGCCAGCAGGGAGAGAATCTAACCTTGACATGTTTCTTTATCATCTCATCCAGACAAGCAGCACTAACCAGGCCAGAAGAGCTGTCCTATGAAGTTATCAACATACAGGCTACCCAGGCGCGTACAGGGGATTGCATGCTTATTCCCTTCCTCGTCTTATACTAACTTTGAACTTCAGATACTCCCCTTTTTTATTCTCTAAACAGTCTGTCACTAATGTCCCTTTTCTGACAAACAGGTGGGCAACTGAAATGCATCCCAGGGGTAGGATGAAAAAGTAAATGTCTAGTGCACAAAGAGGCAGACTGTTGACAGCTCCTCTCATCCCTTCCATCTCTCATTTCTCTAACAGGACCAGCAACGGAATGAAGAGCTGGCTCGGATCATGGGGGAGTTTGAGATCACAGAACAGCCAAGGCTGAGTTCCAGCAAGGGAGACAATTTACTCGCCATGATGGATGAGTTGTAGCTGTGCTAACCAGGCATCCCCTCCCCACAAAGGGAGAAGCTGCTGGATGACAAGCCCTGGGGAATGCCCAGTGCCCAAAATGATGCTGCTAGTTTTCTACCCAATGAAGTCATTACCTCTGGTTCTTGTTTATATTGTAAAGGACTGTGCCAGACTCCCTCAGGAAGCACCCTCTCTTGATGTCACACACAGACACACATTTTCTTTTCTTTTTTTTTTTTTTTTTGAGTTGGAGTCACTCTGTCGTCCAGACTGGAGTGCAGTGGCACACTCCCGGCCACCGCAGCCTCAACCTGCTAGGCTCTGGCGATCTTTCCACCTCAGCCTTCCAAGTAGCTGGAACTACGGGCGTGCACTACCACACCCGGCTAATTTTTTTAAATTATTGTAGAGATGAGGTCTCGCCAAGTTGCCCAGGTGGGTCTTGAACCCGCGGGCTCAGGCAATTCATTCACCTCGGCCTCCCAAAGTGCAGGATTACAGGCTGAGCCACCAAGCCTGGCCAGACACACATTTTCAGTGAAATATATTCTGGCCTTTAAACTGGACCTTTCCCATTTTATTCCTAATTCTATGGTAACCATCCAAATCATCCTGGGCCATAGGTTTGAACCCCAGAGTCAGTAGAGGGTCACTCCTACTGTCATATTCAGGTTTACTATTTCAGCTTTTCTGTGGGGACCTACCACTCACAGATGCCTGTAAATCATAACAAAATCTTTATAGTTTCCTGGGATATATTCTGCCTTGTAGGTTATTTGAAATCAATCATTGTTTAAGGCAGTTGCCTCAGTTGGGAGCCCATTAAGACTGCCTCCTCTCCCTTGCATACTAGGTACTATGACCTTAGAGGTAGAATAAGGAAGGCCAAGATAGGAAACACTCATCCGGGCCCAAGCAGGGTATGTAGACATCTGTACTTCTCTGCACATCAGTCTGTCTACATGTGATTGTGGGTTTATCCCATATGGAGATGTGTACCAACAGGATAATTTGCTTTTCAGCATGATATGTACTGCTTACCCCCAGGATCTTCCTCTGACACTTAGTGTGCTTGCCAGCTAAGACACCCAGTATCATGTGCTATGACGTCTGTCCCCCTGCCTTACCATCGGTCACCAAGCAGAGCCTCAGGTTGGGTGCACAGGAGGCACATGTGGTGTGCCCCTTTCCCTTCCATGTACAGCCAAGCCACTTCCCCTGGCAGGATGTGGCAGGATGCCAAGTCTAATTGGGATCCATGTAAAATGTCTCTGGCCAGGGCTGCTCTTGTTAATTCAGGAAGGAGCAGCAGCCTTCTACCGCGTGTGCCCTTCTGGGACTGAGTAGCCAGCAGGTTCGGGTCCATTCAGTCCTATGGAAGGAACAGCCAGAACAGGAGAGGTAGGAGAAAAACTAAGCTGAGCTGGTCACAGCCTGAGATGGGGCCAGCTGCAAGGACCCCTGTGGCGCCTTGGGGAGGCTCAAGGCAAATACAGTTCTGGAATGGGACAGCCAGCTTACAGGCATAGGGTTTGGAGACAGAATGATAAATCACCAAATAAATTTAAGTTGCCTCCTACCCAGTAAAGTTACACTTCCTCACTTATAAAGACACCCCCCACAACCCTCACAAAAAGTCTGACAAGGAGAAGAGGCATATTGTGCTGCTAAATGCTTATTGCAGCAGATGTACAAAGGGCCTTTGGTCTTAGCCTCTTTTAAGCAATTTGGCCACCATTCTGGGGGGCCTGACTGGGTAACAGGTGAAGGGGAAGGTCTGTCACAAATCTGAACTTCACTGTCTGCTCTGAGCACGTCCTGGGCCTTGGAGGTGGGCCACGAGCTGCCGGGAAGCAGCAGCAGCCTCCTCCCTCCACCTACCCCAGAGCATCTGTCCTATCATACATAAACAAGATACTGATCTCTGTAAGGCAGCTCTGTGATGAGGCAATCTGTGAGTTTCATGTCTCTAGACTTGTACAAATATTGAGAAAAACAAGTTTATTTGCATGATGGTTCAGGGTATCCAGAGAAAGCATGGGAGCAGGGAAGAGGCAAAGAAAAAGGGAGGTAAGAATTACTCTGCCTAAATTGTGAACTGAGTACTAGAAATGTATCAGTGTTCTTTAAAACCATGGAAAAGGGGTACAAAGGTGTCAGAAACAGGACACTGTTTCTGGTCCCATCCGGGCCCCAAATTCAGTGTTGTTTAAAACCATGGCAAAGGGACACCTTGGTCAGAAACAGGACACTGCACTCTGGTCCCATCCCTGCCCCAAATTCACCGTCATCCTGGACTGGTTATCCTCACCAAGACTCAAGTCCCTCAAGAAGAAAGAGAAAGAGCTCAAATCCAGAGTGCCCAGATAAGTTACTGAGTTTATGGCTTTCAAGGCCCTGCCCCAGGTGAGACCTGAGAATTGGAGTTGTACCCCAGCTGCCCCCACCCTGTGCTTTGGGGTAAATCTGCTCTCTTTCAGCTCTTCTGTGACTGTAACCTCTTAGAGTGTTAGAATACCCTATAGATTCTGTAAGGCAAAGCTGTAGGAGAGCCAGAAACCAAAGGACTTTAATGGCTCCCAGAAGAAAGAGCTAACAAGAATCAAGAGTGAGGGAGGAAGAAAAAGAGGGGAATGTATCCCTCAGTTCTAAGAGGAAAGTCATCCCATATAGTCCACATAAGTAACAATTTTTAAAGGTAAAACTCACTTTTTTCTTTAGATCTAAATCTCAGTAGGATGATACCCAAGTCCTGGAGATGCCTGGATCTAAACCAGATCAGCTTCCCTCATCCATGTCCATCTGGTCCGTAGCCATCTGGTTTGTCGTGCTGATCTACATCCAGTATAGAGCCACACTGTCCCTTTTGTACCAACTCAAGCCACAAGATACCATAGAAAGAGAAATGCAGATTTTAGAAACTTTAGCCTAATACCTAATCTTCAAGGCCCAAATTAAAATCTGAAAACTAATACAACCTTTACCTATCTCTTGCTTTCTTTAAATTAAGCCCTGGATAACTCCTTTTCAGCAGCTGAATCCTGGACATCTAACAGTAGAGGGAGTTCCAGAAGGGAGTGGGGAAAGGAAACCCCTCCAGAGTTGAATCTTTCCTGTATAGCTTCCTGATTTGATATGAAGTAAATTCTTAGTTCATACTCACTCCTGTTCAAGTGAGGATGTCAAGATGCATTCCAAGGGACAATGGAAATTATTTTGGATCATTTGATAACCTTGACACTCCTCACCGCCACCACCACCACACACATATGCATTCAAGATACTTTTTGTTTCTGACCTGTGATGCCTCTATTGACAAAAATAACATTACCTGGCTGGGTACAGTGGCTTATGCCTGTGATCCTAGCACTTTGGGAGGTCAACATGAAAGGATTGCCTGAGCCCACGGGTTTGAGACCAGCCTAGACAACATGATGAGCCCTTATCTTTACAATAAATCAAGAGAAATTAGCCAGGCATGGAGGCACGTGCCTGTGGTTCCAGCTACTTGGAAGGCTAAAGTGGAAGGATCGCCTGAGCCCAGCAGGTCAAGACTGCAGTGGCCATAAGTGTGCCACTGCACTCTAGCCTGAGTGACAGAAGGAGACTCCAACTCAAAAATAAATAACATCACTGCACTCCAGCCTAGGCAACAGAGTGAGACTTCGACTCCAAAAAAAAAAAAAAAAAAGAAATGTTGAGGCCGGCAGGTTTTCCGGGGAAGCCCTGGTGTCAGCTAAAGACATGTGGCTCGGTTTTTCCGGATAGCCTCAAGACCTCTCAGCTTAGGTTACAACTGCCTAGAAGCCAGTACTTGGTTTGTGTTGTCCTTGCATTTGTCCCTCATCCCTCCTGTCTACACCTGCCCCCATTGGTGGCACCCAGTCCTCCTCCTCCTTCAGACTTAGCAAATGGCTGCTCCTTCCCCTGGTGCAAAGACCCCCAGTCATGCCTTTGGCAGCTGCTTCTCCATCTTCACTGGCTTCTCGGCCATGAGGCCAGCCTGTCACACTTGCCTGCTGCCTCATTTTCCTTCCCCCCTAAACCCTGCAGCTCCTATCACTCCACAGACTCTGACTCTCCAGGCCCCAGCGTTGACAAGTCCAGCAGCCTTTGTCATCCCCATTCTCCTTGACTTTCAGAAAGCTCTTAGCCCTGCAAACTCCCTTTTCTTCCTAAAACTTTCTCAACTTTGGCTTTCATGGTTTTGATCATATCACTTTCTGGCCATACCTCCTCTCTTTCCCTCCGTGCCTTCTGATTCGGGGTTGCCCTGTGTGATACAGAGTTGGATGCATTTTATTAAGTCTGTCAAAATGGCCAGGTCAATTGCCAGATGCTCCTTATTCCACCCTTGCCTTTTTTCCCATTGCTTACCCTTATCTCCCACTCTCACTCCATTTCTCACCTTCAACCTGTTCCTTACTCTCATTCCACTGCTGGACCCCATGTTTAACAGGTCTTGCATTCTTCTGCAAATTGTTTTACATCGCTTTTTTTCAGAGACACCACTACCTGCAGCCATCACCTCTGTGCTGTGATCCCCACCCCCACCTATGCTTCAGGCTCCCTTTCCCTGGGACAGTCCACAGTACCTCACACTTCAATGTCTAAAACCATAGTCATTTCATTTATTTAGTACATTTATTTCACTCTCAAAAGGCATGAAGAAACTTTTATAATTAAATACAATTCAAAATTGGACAGTTTTCCATAGAAAAGAACTGGAAACAATGGGTAGAGTTACCAAAAACTTCCTAATCTTGGAGTAGATTAGCAAAAAAATGAGAAGCCTGGGTGTGGTGGCTCATGCCTGTAATTCCTGTACTTTGAGAGACCAAAGCAGGAAGACTGCTTGAGCCCAGGAGTTTGAGACCAGCTTAGGCAACATAGTGAGATCTTGTCTTTAAAAAAATAAAAATATTAGCTAAGCATGGTGGCATGCATCTGTAGTCTTAGCTACTCAGGAGACTGAGGCAGAAGGATGGCCTGAGCCCAAGAGGTCGAGGCTGCAGTGAGCTGTAATTGTGCTGCCACACTCCAGCCTGGTGATGGATTGAGACCCTGACTCAAAAAAAAAAAAAATGAATTGCTGGTCACTGGGGCGGTTTGGGTAGAGGTTAGGGGAGCATATAAGATGTTCATTGCAGAGGGGTTTTGGCACTGGGTGGTAAATTATAGCAGGTGACCCTAATTTTCAGGATTTTGTGATCTTCTGACAATTGGAAACAGAACCACAACAGAGCTCATCTAAAGGGAGCAAAGATATTCAAGGCTCCTGGAATGAACTCATTTCAAGTGGACCTTACTAGTCAGAATTTTGGAGTGCAAAAAATTGAAACCAATTCTAGCTATGTAAATGGAAAAGGAATTTATTGAAATGGCATTAGGCAACTCAAAGAGTTGTCAGGAAGACTGGAAAAACATCAGAAGATGGCCAGAAGTCAGGCATGGTGGTGTGCTCTCAGCTACTGGGAAGGTTGGGGCAAGAGGACTGCTTGAGCCTAGGAGTTCAAGTTCAGCTTGGGCAACATAGCAAGACCCTGTCTCCAAAATATAGAGA